AAAAAATTAGTAAAAGCCTGTGAAGAAATTGGAATAACCGGTCCTGTTCAAGAAATGTTATTAAGATGTCTAAAAATATTGGATCCTAAAACTCAAATAAATGATTCTAAATCCTTTGGGACGGTGTCTTTGAGTATGGATGCTTTGGTGAAAGCTTGCTATGAAAACAGTAGATATATTTTAAACAAAGAACGATTTGAAAATAGACCCGAAATTAGTTTTGTAAGAAAATTAATGAGATGTCATTACTATATGGTTGGAAAAAGCAACCTACTGAGTGTAAAAACAATGGCTAATAATTTGTTTAAAGTAACTGATCCCGAAAGTGAAAAAATGTTTAACAAAAAAATATGGAAAAATATCGTTAAAAAAGAATATAACTCAGTTCCTGTTTTTAATCCCAAACACAATTATATTAATGTATTGTTAAAAGATGCAGGTTACTATAGGTATAGTGAAGTTAAATATGGTGAGACTTTTCTTTATAAATTACATTATTGTTATTGGCTTTTAAAACCAAAAAAATATAAAATATCAGACAATGAGGCGATTGAACAAGGTATAGATGATATGAGTGTTGATGATTTATTTGAACCAATTTATCTTACTTATCTTCGGAATACACAAAATGGAATGAAAGGTGATTTTTTTTTATTAATTTATTTATTTCTTTGTTTTTTTTTTTTTAATTACATTATCATTTAGATTATCAAAGAAAATATACCACTTCCGAAGAACTTCAAAGAATTGTTTTATTAAAGAATAAAAAATAAATATTTTCAATTAGTCTATTAGTTTAGTTTTTTTATACTACAATTTATTTATATTATTACTTTAAACATATTTTTATAAATAAACAATTTATTCAATTTATTTTCCAACAAAATGTCTGAAAATATTGAAAATGTTCGTCCAAAAATTCTCCAAATTCCAAGTGGTTCAGGAGAACTCGATCGTATACAAGGAATTATTAATACTCTAAGTGCTAATAATAAAAAACTACAAGAAGAAATAGAATTTTTAAAATCGAACAATCCTCTGTTAGAACAAGAAAATCAAGACCTAAAAAACGCAAATGACAATTTAAAAAACGAAAACAATAATTTAAAAACATCAAACGAGGGAATAAAAAAAGAAAATAAAGAATTAAAAAACCAAATTAAACCGCTTACTGACAAAATCTACGATTTGGAAGAAGAAAATAAAAAAATTAAAGCTGAAAATGAGGAAAATACCAAAGAAAATTTGCAATATGAAGAAACTTTAAGAACCCTTAACTCAATCATTAATACTACTATAAGTTTGTTTAACGTAAAATTTAACATTAATGATCTGATTGAAAAAAGAATGAAACAAATTATGAATTTAGTAAAAGCGATAACAAATATTTCTGAATAATCACATATTTGTTAAACTATAAAATTATAATTTTAAATTACTGTATAAATTACAATAAAGTTTTTTATATTATAAATTTGTAACTCCAAAAAATAATTTATTTAGTAATTGATTAAACGAACTCAGTTGAAATCTATTTTGATAAACTATATTTAGTAATTAATTTGCAAATTCCGAAACTTCAATAATTTAAATAATTGTAATACCAAATATTAAATATTGATCATCAATACAAATTTCTGTTTTTTTTTTAATTTACACTTATAAATACGCAACTCCGAAACTCCGAAACTCCATTTTGATAAACTATATTTAGTAATTAATTTAACAAATTCTGAAACTCTGAAACTCCGTTTAGCAGAAAAATAGAAGTTCCTTTCTTCTAAGTTTTTGCCAAGAAATAATTTTATATAAAATTCTTTTTTTATACAATATGGAATCTTTAGTATCTCGAAATTTTTTTTGGACAATGAATAGGTAATCACTTTTAAAGTTTTATTAATTTTATTATATTTATTTTTGTTATTATATATGTAGAGAACGAGCGTATGAATTTTTTGACGAATGGTATAATGATAGATTTAATAATAAAGAAAATGAAGATGAAATATTTTCATACAATGAACATAAAAAAGAAATAAGTAAAATTCACAATCGACACAATAAACAGATTGAATAACAACTTGAAAATAAAGATAAAATTATTCTACATCTAATTCAAAAAAGAAAATCTGAACAAGCAGAGCGACAACAAAAAAGAAAGTTAGAACGAGAAGAGCGACAACAAGAAAGAAAGTTAGAATGAGAAGAGCGACAACAAGAAAGAATTTTTTTTTTAAAGCTTTTAATGAATATATTTTTGTTCTTTATTATTATGTTTTTGATTTATTGTGCATATGAAAAAAATTTATATGGTACAATTGCTTTGACTATTTTATCCTGCGTTATTAAATATATTGAATATAGTACAAAATAAATAATAAAATGAAATTAGTAATTAATTAATGATAAACTAGTAATTATGATAAAATTACGATGTAACTAATTTATATAAATTAAATTGGTTTATATAAATTGCCATTTTGGTTTAATTTATTTGAACAATTTTATATTTTTTATTTATATAAATTAAATTAGCTTATATAAATTAATCCAACTTTTATTTATAAACAAATGGAGTTATCATCTTTAGTTTTGTCTAAACGCCGTTTAGATCTCTTGTTTAATAGGTAATTTGTTCTTAAACAAATAATTAAAAAATAATCTAAACCAATTATGATTTTATTAGAATGAACGAAGAAAATCAAGATCAAAAATCAGACCATTCAAAAGAAGAAACAGAAACTGAATCTTGCTCATTTAAGCAATTTAAAGAATGAAAAAAATACAAAAACCAAAAAAGAAATCAAGAATAAAAAGAACGTGAGAAAAAAGATGAATTAATCTTAAAAATAATCAAACAAAAAGATGAAAAATTTTTTATATTAATGATAATTATTATATTAGTTTTATTTTTATTATTGATTAAAGACAATGAAATTTTGATTTTATTTTTAAAAGAAAAATTTTGGGGGTTCTTTGGAATCGTGTCAATATGTATTTTAGGTAAATATAAAGAATCGATTATTGATTTTTTAAATATGATAAAATTTAAATTTTTAGGTTAAATTTATTTAAAATATAAAAAAAATTTATTTTACTTTTATGTATAAAAAAAATTATATTATATTACGGATCTATTTTGATCTATTTTGAGTTTGATAGAAGATAAAATAATCTTAAATTTT